GTTGTTGCAGCCCAAGAAATGGCTCAAACTATTAGATTTAAATAATTAATGTATATGTACCGAAATCAGCTGCGGATGGCATAGTTCGCATTATAAGTTTGAAGAGAAAAAAACTGAAAATTCGCTAATCGGAACTGAAACTAACGAAAAAACTTGTCTGAGTAGGAGAAGGAAGATTTATTAGTAAATATCCACTACTCTATGAAGAAAGGACATTATTAGTATTACAGTTAAGATACCAAAGAGCTAATAGCAGAACTTGTTTGCGTATATATTCCATTTTATCATGTTGAGCCAACAGGGGAGCCCATGTACAAGATCCATATTCAAGGAAAGTAAGCACAAGTGAAATATAAAATGTTTTGGTGAAGTACAAATTGTTAAAATCTCCACGCAGGTCTATTTATAATAATAATAATAATAATAATAATAGTAGTAATAATAATAATAATAATAAGTATCGCACAAATTGTAATTGGTCTCAATTATAAATGGTTAATATTGCTAAAGAATTAGTTTTTATTTTTTCTAATAAATATATATATGATAAAAAGTACATTACACATTTTTGTATATACATGGAAATCTATTTCTTAAGTTGAGCTTGGAAAGTCCTTAGTGATTTCGAACTGAGTTGCATTAATCTAAATTTCTTTGAATATATCTTCAGATTGAAAGCAAAAATAGTTTACTATTTACTATTTGTTATCGGCGATAATTGTTTGCCGCGCTTAGCCATGATTATAGGCTTCCACATTTGCTGCTTGAAAATAATGTAGCACAACTATCGATATTATTAAGTAGCATTAACTACTACCCCCTCCCTCAAAAGAGGGGCGACCTGGCAGCTGAATCCAGAAACTGGAAACAAACTCTAACAAAATCAATAAGAGAAGAAACTACCAAAGCTGAGTATTCTGTTTTGTAAGTGCTTTCAATTACTTTGCAATCGTTTCGCGGCCTGCTGCATGTTTGAGTGTGTGTGTGTGTGTGTGTGTGTGTGTAATGGAATTTGGAGGAGTTGGTGGTGTAGAGGTGGTGGGGGGGCGGGGCGGGGGAAATTGCAATATTTACGAGCAACTATTGTCGCTGTAGCAGAGGTAACTGTAACTTCTTCGGCACGAACTCGTTCAGCACTTCAAATTCAACTTCAACTGCGACATGTTATTGTCATAATGGCTTCAACCCCCCGCACACACACCTCCCCGCCCACCCCCACACCCACCCCCATCCCTTTGCCGCTCTTTTCAATACAGCAACCCCCTTTCCTCTTGTAGATGTATTTGCTGTGTTGCTCTTTTAAACCCTTTGCAGCAAACGTTGACTTTTTAGCGTTTTGTCTTCTTGTTGTTTGGATATTGTTGTTGTTGTTGTTGTTCGAATTGTTGTTGTTGTCGGAGTTGATGGAGTTGCTGTTGTTGTTGTTGCCACTACCCCATGGATCGTAATGTTGGCAACTTTATTTGCGGTTTTGTGTAACTGTAAATTACACAAACAGACGCGCAAGTGAAACATATGTAACCGATGTGTTTTTCCTGCTCTCTCCCTCACTCTCTCTCTCTATCTCTCCTCTAGAATGTGTGTGTGTGTGTGTGTGTGTGTGTGAGTTGCTGCCAAGGCATATACATAAATTATTAAACAAAACTGAGTATCATGGCATGGCCATTGCCAGTCGATGTCACCAAAGCTCAGAGCGCGCCATCCCCCCTTCAACTTCTCTACCCCTCGTCCGTAGTCCTGGCCAGCACACGGCGTATGCGTAATTTTGTTTTATTTGCAGCCTTTGTGTGCTAGTGTGTGTGTGTGTGTATTATTTATGCATACTGCGCATGGAAAATTGCAATTGGTTTTTGGCAGCTTTTGGCAGCGGCAATTTGCTTTGAGCATAAATGAAATATATTTATATACTCGCACATACATATATTCCTATATATGTATATATGCATATCTAGTATATGTGCCATTCAGATGTGTATATATTTGTATATATTATTATGGCTAAAGGCGAAGCGCGCTGAAAGTCGCAATCGAATGCATAATAAAATAAGAAATCGATTCAAATCGAATTTGCTGCAATTTCGCATATCAAAAAAGACAAAAACTAAATGTATATAAATATAAATAAATCGCAAAACGCAAAACGCACAATTGATTTAGAAGCAACGAATTTTGAAATGCACTCTGCATCTTAAGAATACTTCAAATGTATCTAATAATTAAATACATATAAACTACGAATCTCACTGAACTAACAACAATCATTTGTAAGATAGTTTTGATCTTTGAAATTTGAATAAAGATTATGTCAGAAAAGACTTCAACACTTTTAATATGTTTCAATAAAATATTGGGAATTTCGAAAATTGCAATGCAAACTCAATTTTCAGTTCAATCCGTATTTATTCCCAAGTAAAGTTCAAAATTGAAATTTATGAGACGTGCTCCAATTTGCGTATACGGAAAAGCTTTTCGTTTTCATTATCAAAGCGGGCATTTGGATGCTCCAATTTGCGAAAGCGGAATAGCTTTCCATTTTGAGAAGCTAATGACAATCACTTACATTATTTTTAATCTATTTTGTATTGTTCTCAGATTATTTTTATGTACCGAAACGGAAACGGCAAAGTTTTACGTAAATTGGAAAATGTCTGATTATGAAAGTTTTAAAGAAAATCTGGCTTACTTACAGCTGCCAATTAAATACAACTACTCAGACCGATCCAAAAATATTGAGCATATTGTGGAAGAATTTCGCGGCTATGAAGATATAAATGCAGCATTGCATTTGCCGCCGCATGTGTACCCAAACTGAGTGTAACAAAACTCATTTAAAAGTTGTGCTATCCAATCGCAAGTAGAAAAGCTGAAAATAAAGAAAATGCGATAAACAAAATACAAAAACAAAAAACGCCCATCGAATGAAACAGAGGACAATAAAATCGAATCGCTGGCTGACAAAGGTAAGCAGCAACAGCCAGGCAGACAGACAGACAGACAGACAGACAGACAGACAGACAGACAGACAACAACAGGAACAAGAGGAACAACATTGATAGACACAAAGGGTTACGGCTGAGGCAACCCATTGATTCGTCCGTTGCGCATAAATATGCAATGGCCACAAATTTGTTGTGAATTTTGACTCGGATGCTAAACAGCAAATATCGGCTTGAGCAGGAGCAGCACAGCAGGCACAGCAGGCACAGCAGGCACACAGGGATAAGGGCACAGTGACGAGGATGAAGGATGAAGACGAAAACGAAAATGAAAATGAAAACGAGGACGTGCATATGAAATTTGCTCAGCTCGGATAGTAGAGCCAAGCGAAAACAATCGATTATATCGATTGATGGTAATGATTTTATCATTTGTTGTTTTTATACCCTGAAACCGAGGGAAACCGAGTATTTTGACTTTGAGCAATGTTCGTCATGTCAATATCGAAAACATCGATGATCGCAAATCGATAAAAAGCAACCCACATATAACTGTAAAATTGATATGCTGTATTCACACTATCCTTCTGGTATTAAGAAATTTAGAATGCTTATATCTGCCATAGCTAGGGCAAGTGTATAATCAGCAATGGTTATTACTAGTAACAACCTTTCTTCGGGAGTCACAACGCAGATTGAGTTAACAAATTTGAATGGCACACTAATGATTATTTAATGGTAGACTACCCACCTCCACAATATTGTTTTTTTTTTTTTGCGCCTGTTGACAGCTGATATAATACTGATATCAGAGTATTCCGCAGTCAGTTAGTTACATTCTACTGAAACGCTCTATTTTGTTCTCGCTGCTGCTCTACTGCCATTACTTAATCAAAATAATGATAAATACTAACAATGCCACACGATTTGCTTTGTTTCGTTCAACTAAAAAACCAAATGTAGCTCAAAGTTTTCACACTTCAACTGAAAATGAGCACATAAATTTAGAGTGACCCAAGAAACTGTCAATGTACACACAAGTGAATAAAAAATATTCAAGCAATTTACATGCGTGATGACCATTTTAGTAGCCAAGTCGCCAAGTTGGCCATTTAACCAGCACCTATTTCACATCGTTGTTGTTTTTTTTTTTTGTTTTTTTGGTTGTCGCTTTTATTGTCGCTCTAATTGTAATTGCTTTGATTGCGGCACATTGTTCCATTGAGCGGGTCGGAGTTGGAGTTGGGCGTTAGTGTTGGCGGTGTGGGCAATGTAACAACTTAGGCCAATTCCTAATTGAATTTGACTTGCTATTGCTTGCTTGTTCACTTCGTTTTAGTTTATCGCTCAGCTTTGACTTAAAATTGTGTAAACTAAATTATTGTTTTTGTATTTCAATAAATTGTTATTGGCCTCCTGCTTCTGACTTCCACTGTATAAATACTCGAATGTTTTAAGAATCACATATTGAATTCGTTTAACAAGCATAAATCTTAAGCAATTCATTCATTGGTAGTTCTACAAATTTGCTGGGCAAAAACTCATATTAAGATTTGTAGTCCATTGAAATTGCCATGCAACACCAAAAAATATTGTAAACTATGGATCCTTTTGGCAATAGCTTCTTGTCATTACGACGAGGTCTACATCCAAAATTAAACCTCGTGCATATGTTTGCTGCATTTTATTATCTCAGATTTAGCAATTCCAACCAAAGTAATTTGCATACATACAGAAAGTTCAAGAATATTCGCACATAAAAAAGTAATACGCAATTTAAATGAGCTGATTTTAATAAAAAAATATAAGGTGAAATAATAATCATATCTGTGGTCATTTTCTGTCCAGCTTTACACATTCGTATTTAGAAATTCCCTTTAGTCTGCAGAAAAAAAATCGAGGCGACAGATGAAAAAAAGAAAAATGTATAAAAATGATGATGAAAAGTGCTTCTGACCGCAGCTGCCACAGCGAAATCAGTGAAGCTGCAGTCGACCCCCAAACCGATGCCCCTTATATCCCACTTCCCCCGTCCCCGTCCCCGTCCCCGTCTCTGTCCCCGTTGCCACTCTCGGCACTTACACGCTCTCCCAGTTTGGGCCCAGGCCTCGCTGCACTTCCGCAGAATCACTTAACGCTTGATTACACCGATTGACGTTTTGACGAGGCAGTGATGCTGCACAAGTCGATGATGATGACGATGACGATGACGACGACGACGACGACGACGACGACGTCTACGACAAGGAGCACCGTGTGGCCGCCACTGTAACCAAAAAAAATAAAAAATAAAAAGCAAAAGCAAAAGCAAAAAAAATGGGAGGCGGTGCAGACAACTGTTGAGGGCGAAGCTGCTTGGCAGCTAGCCGGGCTCAGGCGGACTTGCAACTGCAACAGCAGCGACTGCCAACTGTGGACTAGAACGTTATTACACTGTAGACGAGCGAGATGGAAAAGGAGCAACAGCAAACAAAATAATATCAAGAAAGAATGGGCATCTTAGCACAATCTCAATGATGATCAAATACCCTTGCAGACCGGAATTCAACTACTGATGTCAAAATTTGACCATAACGTGGGTGCGTTGGTCGTGCCTAGGGCAGCTATATGATGTACTGACTCGAAGCGGTCACCTCCGATATGGTAAGAGACAGCCGGACAGACGGACAGACGGATATGGCTACGGCTCATGCATCATTAAGTTGAATTTAACTCAGAAGATCATTTTTGACGAAGATATTTGAGTGGCAATTTTAAATGCAACAAAATGAGATATTGTCTAATTATAATGCACAATTAATATAGATGAAAATATTATTATTTATATTTATATATATTTATTTATATATACGTATTACAAACTTGTCGAACAAGTTATAATACCCACTGCAAGGGTAGACAGAATAAAAAATACAAAACTGTAACTGAAACAGAAACAGAAACAGAAGCTGAAGCTGAAAAGATGCAGCTGAAGCTGATGCTGAAGCTGATGCTGGCTTTGGAGTTGGAGTTGGAGTTGAAGTTGAAGTTGGGCTGCCTGTCGATTAAAATGTCATCGCATTTTGCTGCCGGCTGCGTTGCAGTTGTCAAAAGGTTTTTGCCACTTGTCGCTGCTAGTTTTCGCAAACAAAAAACAGTGGATAGCAAGAAGGAAATAAAATAATAATAATAATAATACCAACGAGCAAAAAAATACAGAAGAAGATGAACCAGAAGAAAAAGAAGCAGATGCACGCGATGGGCACGACCCGGGGCAAGCCAAGGGTTAAGCATAGCTGTCTTTGAGGCTAAACACAGCATTTACCTCTATCTCACTCTGGCTCTCGTTTGCGCTGCTCTTGCGGTTTCTCTCTCTCTCTCTCTCTCTCTCGCTCTGAATAAATGTGTGTGTGTGTGTGTGTGTGTGTGTCTCCACGGCATGCAGCAGCAGTTTGAAACTGCAGTCAAAGGCTAACGAAATGAAATGCTGGATCTGCGGAAGGAAACGTATGCGAATACGGATGCGGATGTAGTTGCACAAATAGTGACAACGTTGTGTGTCTGCTAGTGTGTGTGTGAGTGTGTGTGTGTGTGCGAGTGCGAGTGAGTAGCTTTAAATTGCATGCGCACCGATGCATCAACCGACAAAGTCAAATACAACAGTATATGGTTATGACAACATGCCATCTGCATCAATTTGAAATTATGTGCAACAATACGAAATGAAATTCAATTGGATTCGATAATGCATACATAAGCACATACATACATACACACATACATATGTATATCACATATATCACAACAAATGAATTGAGTGTATAACACACGAATCCTCTGATCGAAAGCAATCCAAACAAGTTTGAAAATTGAGATTTAAGACCCACTTTAAGAAACCAATTGAAATTCTGTTTTCACAGAATATGCACAGAAGAGTATCAAATAGTGGAGCAGCTAAAAAATGATTCAATTAACTGAATCTATCAGCACTATTAACTACCTGAATTTTACACTATTTTGTGGATGTTTTATTAGATTTTTCTCTTCTCTTAATCTGCTTAATGGAATCTTGTTTGAGGAATCCGTTTCGATTATTTGTTGCATAATGCACCTTACACTTTGGCAAAAACATAGCCACATCGGACGTCAGCATTCATTCTCTATATTTGATGCTTGATATTTAATTAATTTAATTCATCAATTACAATTAATAGCATTGACTTAAATAATGTAGCTTATAAGCAAAATTTCCAAGAAATTATTTATTTGTTCGGACTCATAAGTACATTCAGAAAAAAGGTCGTCGTGAAAACTCGAAAGTATTTCTCTTCATTATGGAAATAATTTCAAAACATTCGAAACACATTTCTTCAAGTTCGAAAGATTATTTTTCGCCCTCTTTTTCACATATATGTTTTGTTTGGAAAATATATTTTTTTTAGAATTTTATTGCTCGACTACTATATTATAGCTAATTGCTGCAATTATGCAAAGAAAACCCTGGTTTTCAGAGCGACACAACCCACAATTTTCGAAAAATATTTTTTGAATAATAGAGTAAGCCAAAAGTATGGTAACTTTGTAAAATTCAGAGTGATTCTTTTTCTGAGTGTATATTTATTGGATTTTGTTGCTGCTGAATGTGTATTGGATTGGGCTGGGCCATATATGATTAGAGTGCAAAGCCAAATTTAGTAGTGCTTAGTAGTTCCCTGCTCATTTGCCCTCTAAGACATTTCAATTAGCTGGCATAATGAGAGCTGTAAAGTGCAACAATTGTTGTTGTTGCTGTTGTTATTGTTGTTGTTATTGTTGTTGTTAGTGTTGTTGTTGCAGGCGGCGAATGATTAATGGCCAACTGTTTGTATCTGTGCGCGGCCTGCGAAAGTGTTGACTGCTGCTGTTGTCCATGTTGCCAATGTTGGCCATGTTGCCTCCGTGCAATCCGCCTCTGCAATTCTCATCCACTTACTCAACGCTTTCCCTCAAGAGCCATCACCTGCTTGGCTGCCTGCTGCTCACATAATTTGCCTACAGATAGATGTGGTCCCCCTTTTGCTACAACTAAGACTGGAGCTGGTTCCCATTTTAGGGGCGGTGCGGGGGAAGGGGTTTTGGGGCGCTTATCGTATGAGGCAATCGGCATCCTTGCTGAGCTGAAATCAAGGTGCCGCTTGAACCGGTTCCTCAGCATTCAAAGGGGGGAATTGAAGTCATGATGAGGGGAAGAGGAGAGAGCAGAGGGTGCTTGCTGCCCCACAAGGAATGGCCAATACTCGCAGCTGAACAATGTTTTCGCGGCTTATTACGCGCGATCGCTCGCTCAACAAACAACAGCAACAACAGCAACAACAATCTGAGCTGGAACAGCCAAGCCACCTGTGCGCAAAAATCAAACCAAAAGGCAATGCTCGTTATATGCCATGTGCAACAAGGGGCAAGCCAGCCAGTCAGCCAATGAGTGAACCAGTTTATACGGCGAGATGGATGGATTGGGACGTGCGGACGAGCGCCCACCGCCAAAGTGGAGCAGTCAAACAGCTTTGAAACGCCGCTGCGTGCAAGAATCGGGAATCGGACATCGGACATCGGGCATCGGACATCGAGCGAGAATCGCGAGAATCACGAGAATTGTGAATTGAGAAGAGTCCAAGACAGGATGCGCCTGCTTCACCGTGCCGTTGCCTTGCTTGCCTATCGCTGATCAAGTGAGCTGCTGCTGCTGCTGCTCCGGCTGCTGAAGAAAACATGTTACCTGTTAGGGTTAGTGGGATAGGGGGGGTAGCAAATGGTTGGGTATTGCAGGGGAGTGGCAGATTAAGCATCGGCGGTCGCGTTAGACTCGCGACCACCTGGCGCTCTCAACCAATCAGCGTGCAGCAAAGTGAATTAGTGGGGCCCCCTCTATTTGAGGACCTGGTCTTGTAGCTTCTCTTGTTATACCCTGTAGCAAATTATGAAAGGTGCTTTGCAATGGTATCTTTGAGCAGCGCTAAACTTAAGGCACTTCTGATCTCAAATCTAAGCCGACCTCAGAGACTAAAGGAAGAAATAAATATGGGTTGAATTTATAATCAACAAATATTGGTAAATATTGTTTTTATGCAACAAATCAAGATTCCCCGATTCCATTCGGTGCGTATGTATTTAGTCAGATCTCCGAGACTATGCGAGACCTTTCCAACTATTGGATCGGCTTTGAGTTGTTGCTAAAAGTAATAAAAGTTAGTGACTAGAAACCAATGCGGACCATAATGCAAGAAATGAGCTAATTAACTGTGTATTATGTGAAAGAAGACTGTTCACAGGGTATTTTGTAGTCGAAGGACTATTGTTTGTGTTTTTTATGATTGCTGCCGTTGTTGTTATTTTGCTTATTTGCAATATGCGTAAATGTTTACGAGCCAACTGGCCAACTTATACTTAGTTACACAAACTCGTACATAAGCGCGCCTAGCATAGCCGGATAGGGCAACGGGGGCAGTGCGAAAAGGAGGAGGAGACGTTTTGGTCCACAGACACTTGTACACCTAAGTGATTTAGTGTAAATGATTGTGGCAAATGCGAGAGCCGACAACAGAGAGCTGCGCCTTGAACTTTTGCCTCGTAATTATTGACAGCGCATTTGTAGCAGGTGTATTTTTTTTTTTATTTTTCTTGTTTTCTTGCAGGCAGCCACAAAACAGTTTGTCTGGGCCATAAGTGCCCATGACTTATAGATATGGTGGGCCCTCAATAGAGCATTAGATGCCAAGATTCGCTGGGAAAATTCAGCTCTTCAGTATGGAGAATATCCATTTGAGCAGTAGCCGTAAAATAAAAGAAAAACACATTAAAGTTGTTATGGGAACGAGTTATGCATAGCACAGCAGATATTACATGTCTATATATATATATATATATATATATATATATGTAGTTCGGTTACATTAAACTACGTGTACGAGCTTCCATGTAGTTGTTCTGGATGAGTGCTTGGACTACAGTGTAACGAGTTTGCCATCGATTTGATGGGATGCAGTTAAAAATTAATTGGAATTTGCGTAGACACGCATTTCGCTTTGGAATATGATTAGATTCTTTCAAAAATACCTGTTGTTCAGAATACTTACCTCAAATGAAAATCGCCCTGAAAACTATAAACTTTTTCTGATTTTGCACTTGACACTTAGCTTGTGAATGTGCAAACATTTAATTATTGTCTACTTTTCTGATATATCTTTCATAATAATAGAAAAATATTTAGATGTTAAATAAGTTTGAAATGCAAATCATAATTTTAAGTAT